TTGAGACGGAAGGTCACGTCGCCAGTTCTGGTGCCGCTTGCGCGCGTCTGCAAACGCACTTTTCTCCTTCGCGAGTGGCCAAAGTAAACGGCCAAACAAGCAAACAGACACTCTACAAATCTCGTCACCCAACAGCCACCACCCGCACGTAACTCTGCCCGGCTAAAGAAATATTCGCGAAGTCGACTCTCGACGGAAAGTCGTTCCGGAGTTTCAGCGTTTCATTTTTCTCGTTTTGTATCCTTTACCTTTCCGCCCCTCTCTCTCTGCCCTCAACCTCCGCGACCGCCCCTCCGCGACCTCCCCTCCGACTCTTTTTGACTCACTCGGTTCGCTCGCTCTTATTTTCTCCCGTTGCACTGTTCATGTTACTGCGCGATCCGGTATATGCAATTAATTACATTCTTTCGCAAATCCCTCTCTCTTGCGAATTTGTTATGAGCTACGTTTTATTTATAGGACAATTATTTTTTCTAGTACTTTTTATTGCTGGATCTTTCTCTTTCACCCTCTGTCTCTCTCGTTTTTTTCCACTGTCTCGTTTTTCATTCCGCTCCCTTTCGCGTCTCCTCCCTTTTTCCACATCGTTCTCTGCCGGTCTCAGTTTTCCGATTGTCTCGCGGAAGCGGCTTTGCCTATCGTAACGAGGGAGGTCCGTGGCTCTGTCGCGATTCGACGGTGCCGGTAATGCAAAACATAAGCAAAAGAGCGAGGCTTTGTCGACGGGCGCGTTACGCCCGCTAAATTCATCGGGACGCATAAATGTGAGGGGCCCGAGTGTGACAGAGAGAGCAAGGGAGGGAAAAAGGGTAGTCGCGTTAGTGAAATCCTCTCGTTCGTCGCTTTCCGAAATCGCTTCGTACCGGAGGTTGCTTGCGAATGAACGCTGACTTACGAAAGGCTTCCTCGTGTGCGAGATACGAGACACGTTCGCACAACGTTTCGATGGTTTCAGAGATACCATTTTGTTAAAAAAAAAAAAAAAAGAAAACAAATATTCGCGATTCTGCACGCTGAAATTTTACACGAAATATAGCGTGTATTTCCCTGTTTGGAATTAATATCGGGCGCATTCTTTTAACGCGACTTTCTCGCGCGGAGTTTTCGCGCGGAGGGAAAACTTGGAAAGTTGACGAGAGATTGGCCGCGTTTATGAAAAGTGGTGTGTCCGAAGTTAAATAAAAAAAAAAAAAGAAAAAGAAATTCTAAATAAGGCCGGGAATTTTTGCATCCACAAACGGTAGCGCCGTTTCATCGATGACATCGCTCGCCTTTAGAAAAGCCGCCGTAAAAGGAGGGGCTCGTTTAATTCAACTCAATTTATTCTTCCGTTTGCCCGCTTCTGAATGGCCCCCCTTTTCCATTCACCCTTCGTTAAGCGGCCGATAAGCGGAAGTGCCCGATTGGCCGGATGCTGCCTTTCTGTAGTCCGCACGTCCCGCTTCTTATTTATCCCTTTCAGCGTCACGCATTTACCGCTCGATATTCGATATACAGCGGAACACTTCGCATTTCCCAACCGGCACTTCGTTCCGCTCGTAATTATTGTTTCGTGGATACTTCGCCGTGTCGCAACTACTTCACGTAACTATCTCCGCAATCCGGAAGCCGCAGCGTCGTCTGCGGGCCCCCTCCGGGTTTATTTTGAACGCGGCTCGTTTTGGAATTATTCGACGCGATCGTGACTCTGGTCGCGTATCGCCCTATCATATTCATTTCGCGGATGATACGTGAAGGGAGCACGAGCGAGTAGCGTTTTACATTATGCTCGAGTTACTCGAGGGTAATTTCATTGGTGACTATAAAACTACACCGCTTCGCGAATAACGAGTCAGACATTTTTATACGTTGGAAAGTATTTGGTTAGCGTATGTAATACTTGATCGTCCTTATACGTTGTAAGAGGAAGAATTTTAAGGAGACGTTGGAATCGAATTTACCGACAGAATATTAACTTTTTCCGGTAAAGTTTACATTATATTGGCTGCACAGAGCGACAAATGCTTTCACACAGTAAAAATACGTGCGAGAATGCATTGAAGAATTGCTCCATATATGACAAGAACGATAAAAAAATATCAAAATTGATATTTCGAGTGTAAATTGGCCTGTCAGATGCTGGAAGTTAAAGTAAATATTCGCCTGATACAAAAGATTTATAGCTTGTATATATAGAATACGCGAGTTTACTTCGCTCAAAAAAATTTCAAAGAACTTTGTTGTACCTTTACATCTGAATTTATAGACTTAAAAATATCGGGAAGGTTTCTATATATGCGTGATTAGGCCTTCCGTTAAATATGATAAAACAAAGCAACACACATTTACGTAAAATCTACATGTAAATCTACAATGTAATATAAAGAAATACAAAAAAGAAAGCATGATTGCATTAGTGACGATCGTTTCTATGTTATCGACATTTTTATCATTGACTCAAACATTCCCTTAAATTGAAAAGGGAGAAACCTTGTCATTTCAGGAATATTGGATATTTGTAGTCGCTTTAGAATTACGTTTCCTTTTGCATCGATTCGCATTGGTAACATTTATAGATCGCAACGCGCGCTAAATCAAGACTGAAATGCAATGATACAGTGCGGTTTGCGCGGATAATCAAATATCACTATCAAATTTTTTGCCTTAGTAAATGCGCATCAGAAAACGCTTCATATCGTCCATACGCGATCTTTTTCGAGTAGAACGAGCCATGTGCTTTTGCATGACAGATTATCGATTCCAGTTTTGGAAAACTGGGACGTTCTCTGGTCGATGTGATGATATTTTAAAGTCCAGAAAATTCTACGTGAGAATTTCCATTGAAAATTGATCGATCCTACATGTTACGTACGTATAGTTTCTCTTACGTGTGCTGCAAGCGTCGAGAATAATAGAGATCCACGAATCGAAGCGTGAGCTTTCTCGGCCGCACGGTAGACTCGTGGAAGGGTTGAACGGAATGTAATGGACTAAGGGGAGGGCACCCCGATGCGCGGCGACAGTCCGTCGACTATCGGAATCGCGATGTAAATTGGGCAATTTACGAAGAGAACGGAAGAATGCGCGGTCGTTAGGGGAATGCGTATTGGGTGCAGGTGTCACGGCGCGTTCCCGTTCGCGAGAAACGGATCCGCAAAGAATATCCCAGACGCGCTAGTTTTCCTCTAGGAAATCTTATTTACCCGCCGCGCCGAGAGCGAAGAGGCGGAGAAAGGGGGTACGGAAAACCGGCTGGGTTAGTGACGGAGGAGGGGGAAGGTGGCGAGGGGTAGACGGCTGAAATTGAGTGACGTCAGTAATCAAATGCCATTCACCCGTTATGAAGACGTTTCGCCTCGATGGAAATTATCATGCGAATGCGCGACTGGCGGAGGCGATAAAACCTTGATAGTTTGCGAAATTTTCTTGTCTACGTCAAACTATAATATCCACTCATCTCTCTCTCTTCTTTTTTCGCAGTCATCCCCCTATCCTTTGCGCTCGCCCTCCTCCTTTCTTTCCTCCCCTTTACTGTCGCGCGCCGTTCGTTTCCTTCTCTCTCTGTCTCTGCATCTGTACTCTTTATTAAAATCGTAATCTCTTATTTTCTGCCGCGGATACTCACGCTTCGGCCTGTACGCCGAAACGTTCGCGCTGTCTGTTTAATTCTCCGCCGAGACATTTCAGAACGGGACGATGATAACTTTATATTCGTCTTTTAGACGCCTACTGTTCTCATCGACGAAGCCCGCAGAAATTTTTCCGTACGTTCCCGCATAATTTATCTGTCGCTTATCGCGCTTGATTCCACCTTGTCGTATTGATCAGGGATCTCTTTTCGTCTCGGTCGTTTATAATTCAAAGATTATTGACGTCAATAACGTGACGGCATTTGTATAAGTTTGTTTAATAATTAATTATTACGTATAATAATGGATGAATTAATGGATGATTAATGTGGTACCCGAAATAATCTCGATTTATCGATTTGTTTAATTAGCTTTTATTATGTAGATACTCGAATATGTGAACGTAAAATCTGATACTCTGCGCGCGTCTCCGTTAAAACCGCTTTATTTCTATTTCTGCAAATAAAGCCCACTTGAAGCGAACTGAAAACCCATTTGCATTGTCGAAAGCTTAATCCGCGTGGAAAGCCTTTTAAATTCCAATATCAAATAAATCTTTTCCCTTTTCTTCCTCTCCTTCCTCACCGCTGGCCCATCTCGTCGTCCAAGTCGTGCGCTAAGAAAAGCTCTAAGTTTTTCATTTACATCGCGTTAAGTGCAGATAACTTCACTGATACTTGGATACTCGCACAACAAACACGCGGTTTTATTTATTCGAGCGGCAGGAGCGAAAAATGAGCGATAATACCACCGGATGTTTTTAGAAACCGAAGCACCGAATTATCCGCTTTTTATGTCCAGCACGCGTTAGCATTCAGAAAAAAAAAGCAATAATATCTCAGCGAGAGAGGGCGGAAGGTCGTAAGGCTAATATCGCCGTATGTCGCGCCGTGCGCGTGTGCGTTTCAAAAGCGGATTAGTTCCGGTATTGTATTTACAGGTGGTCGTGCGCATCGAGCGGCTTAGTTGCAAAATTGCCTGTACACAGCGCAACATATATATATATATATATATATATATATATATATATATATATATATATATACACATATATATATCCCGTAGCCTCTCGTATTCATCGGGTTCGACGACTCTCGAAATCTGCAAACGCGAACGCTCGCGTGACGCGATAGGTATCTCCATTCTCGCGGCCGGTAGTCCTAATATCGCGGAGATCAGCTGGGAGTTTCGTACTTGCTCGTAAGGATTTTGCCGAATTAATCTTGTTTCTTTACGAAAAGTCACCGCAAGTCCGCCGGGGACACTTGTCGTGCTTCATCTCGGTGTCGCGGATCGTTATCGCGATTAATATGTCCAATCTCAATCTGACAGTATTATTGATCTACTACTCACGCGTAAATTCGCGAATAAGATAAGGATGAGAATACTCACCGAAGATGTCGTTTGGGTAAATCAGCAGTGCCAGTAACACCATGAGTAGTGCCTTTTGCCGATCCACCATTTTGCCGCAATCATGGATCCAGCTGCAACGCGAAGCATTATTATGTAACGTTGCGCAGCGAGCAGTTTTTATATTTTCTAATTTTTTCCGCGTATCTATGCACAGCATACAATATCCTCTTTCTCTCTTTCAGTCTCCCTTGTGATGTTTTCTTTTATAATCTCGCGCGCAAGGCGAATACTCGTGTAAATCGCAATTCGGATCAAAAGGATTATGATCTTTGACTGAGTGAACATATTAGAGCTTTTTACATTGTTATATGATTAATTAATAGAATATCATTGATACACATATACCACATTACATATATCACATTCAATGCACCGACGAAAATATTATTTAACGAGAATCGCGCGAGTAATTGAACACGTCGTGTCAGCTAATTATAAGCGCAATCCTCCACGTATATCTTTTCAATGGTTCGCGTATAAATTATTGACGTGCATAATTAAATGAATCCACCACATCTTCGCATTCAAACGGAAATGAAATAAATGTAATTAAAGTAAGAAAGGAGACCGTTGAACCGCTGAATAACGAATATCGTCTGGATTACACTTACAAAAGTATCGGGACTCTATCGTCGATCGATTCTATTCAAATTATCTATTACGACGGCGAGTAACGGTTTGATCGCTGATATGCAAATAACCGACAAGATTCTAAGCATTAAACCCGTCCGATCGTGCGCGCCGTAGTCGTCCCTCAACATTATTGGCCTCGAACGTGTTCGCGTGGCTGCGGAGAAAATAAAAATAATAAAGTAGATACGCGCGCGCGACGTGGTGTAGGAGAGAATATATTACTGACGGGAGCACATTAAAGTCATGTCAGCGTCTGTGACGGTATTCCACAGGGATATCCCCCGATATCCTTTCATCTAGACTTTGCGCACAGATCAAAACGCGCGGCCATCGGGTTTCCGATTATATTGAGGGTCAATGGCGACCCGTTTGTTTCCGCGATATTATATCAAACATCAAAAAAGAATCGCGCAAGTAGATAACAGTAGAGCCCTCCGTTGCGTACGCACGCTCCGCGAGAAATGAGATAATTTTGCACGTAATCCAATCTCCTGAGCCTAACTGGCGACAGAATTTTGCTGGAATTTTGCTTTTTCTCCCCTGAAAACGAGGAATCCCGAGTGATATAAAAATCATTATCATGTAAATTTTTTATTTGCCTGGATAATTCCTTAAAATTGTCATTTTCGTGGTGATTAATTAATCGAATATTAAGTGTCTAAAAATAATCGTTCAATTTATTCCGACAGTAGGGTTCTCCATTATGTGTATACTCTCTGCGAGAAATGAGAGAATTTTATGCGTAAATCCAGTCTCTCTTAAGCCTAACTGACGACAGAATTTTGCTGGAATATTTTTTCCTCTAAAACCTAGAACGAAGAATCTCGAATAAATAATATAAATAATATAAAAATAATTATTATGTTTTATAATTTTAAACTTGTCCGAGTAATTTCTTAAAATTGCTGTAACATTTTCCCGTGGAACATTATTACGTGATGAGCAATCGATTGAAAATTGAACTATTAGAAATGATTTAGAGATAGACTCGTCGAGGTAGACTCGTCGTTGCAACGACGATGACGAACAATCGCGTCGCGTGTCGAGGTATAAGAATCGCGGATGAAAATAGGCGCGTGCAAAAGTGTGGCGCGCAAAGTAATGACGTCGTCCTTGGCGACCCGGTTGGCGAGCGTTGCGCGCGTTAAACGCCAATCAGGCAAGTTTCCCTTGTGCTACGGCGCACTGATAACTCCATTACGAGACGCTGCATAGCTGGCGAGACTTGTTAGACACTTCGAAACATAACATTAAATTGATGTGACAATCATATCAACCTTCTTGCGTTTGCGCTTACAATAAGCGGCGACGACGACGCTCATCCGTCGTCCCCTTTCGCCGTCGAATCGATCGCGCGGAGCAGACGCTTCGACGGTTCATCCGGTTGCTCCGCGCTTTCGTCTCCGGCGAGGTATCGCTTTCTCGAGTACGCGCGGAAGGGTTGAGACGCTCGATTGCACCCCCCGCGCGGGCAGCTGGCATATAAACGCAAAGTCGCGAGTACCCCCACGTCGTCGGGAAGAGCCGTCGCGCACGAAAGTTTGCCCGCCGACAACTCCGCGGCGGAAAACGGCGGAAGTTGGGTACATTTATCGGCCGCAACACCAAGACAGAAGTGTATCCGTCATGTGTAGACACGCGTGGGCCGCGCGACAGGAAACGAAATTCTCGAGTTCCACACGCCCGGCGAGCCCTTCCGCTCGGTCGCAACGGGCAATAGCCACCATCGCGGCCTCGCCCGGCAACTTTCGAATGTGACGAGCGCGAAGGGGCGAGACGATAAAACTCGACACCGGACGCGGTCGCCAAGTTGGCGAAACGTCCTCGAATTCTCCTTCTCTTTCCGCCTCGCCCTTTATCTCGGAATTTGCAACTCTCGTGGATAACTTGGCGCGAGGTCGACGGGGCGAGTAATCGCGGCGAAGGTAACAATTGCCGCGCAAGTCCCACGGTGAAAGCGGAATTTGTACGTTACGGGACATTGCTTGAAGAAGGTGTCTCGAGAATGAAAGTAATCGTTTCGCATGGGGACGGCTCGTTATCGACGGAAGGATTTCTTGGAGGGAAGAGAAAACGATCGATAAAGAAATAACCGCGGCTTATCCCGTTGTGTGCACTTACGATATCCCGTTGTTAACACTTATAACACGGTCGTCCGGCGAAACGAAGAACCCGCGCTGCACCACGGGCGACGTGACTTTATTCAAAGCGGATTTCGTCGTTTACTCGATACACACAGGCCAGAGTAATATCGAGTTTGGATTTCGACTAACAAGAGACCGGGTGCACGAAAAGGTGGCCTGGCAAGCGACGAGCGCGCCGCGCAAACAATGCCATCGAGTAATTAGACGTATACAAGGCGATTCTTCCCCGACGGATAGACAGCCGCGCGCGCGCGGTGGTAGGACGGGTCGTATTGTTTTATAGGGGGTTAGGACGACAATTTGAAACCAGAACGAAGACGCCAAGACGCGCCGCGGTTCTTTGTCTTACGATGCGCCTTTGTGCATTCTGCGCGAATTTTCAACGAAAACTCTCCCTGTCTGCTCGGCTCGCGTCCACCCACCGCGGTCGGTATTGCGGCATAAGCGAGATACTCGCGCTATACTGCTTTACATTCGCTCGAATGCCGAAACGTGAAGAAGAAGAACACGACGTGACTCGAATGAGAACTCCACGTATCATCGTGGCTGTTCCGCCGTGGTTATCTGTAATAAATAATATCTCTGATAACTTTGCACTCGCTTGGTCGTCAACGCAATTGCGAATCTCTCATTAGAAACGACGAAGAGTCGCGAACACTACGTATATGTGTGGGTAACAAAGGGACGTTCGGCCGAACGCAAATTATTGGGGATCTCTGAAGTATTAGAGTAACCTCAGTGGTTACAGTCCGTGATTAGTCAGACGCGCCGAGCTAAGCCCAGTCGTGTACACCTGAGTTCGGTAATTTACGACCAAGCTATTGTAACATTTATCGTGCAAGTATATACATGACACTTTCGGGTGAAACACACGATTATTACTGTCGTCTCGTAATTGAATAGGGACAGGCGGTCGAAATAAGACCCTTCGATAATTATTAAATTTTATCGTGTTGCAATAATATATGTTGCAATATCTGCTTGCAAACATATTTAAAATAGATCCAACGCGTTGTTTTAACTCGAGCTTGGTTAATAAGGAATAAAATGTCGTGTTATGAATTTATAGTTATATTTGTTATTCTTCCATCCACATCGAGTTTTTGTTCAACTTACTCGTTCGCGTGCGACACGATTGATCCCGGGAATCGAGAAAGGCCGGCGAGAAATTGCATAAAATCGTAATGAATATTTCGCACGATATAACAATCCCGAATTTAATCTAAAATTCTCCGAGTCCGGCGAAGTTTCCCCTTCTAATGAGTTCATTTAAACGCGTAAAATTCAGATCTTCCTAATTACGGAACTTTGAGATGCACGCAGTTGGAAATTAAACCATGCCGTGGTCGCATGATAAATGCATCCACAATCCGAACGTCCGTTCGTTGCGATCGGAGCAACGAACGAATCTTGTCGTGATAAATTCCGCCTCCCCTCGATTATCTTTTTATCTGATTATCCGTCTCTCTATATTCGACGATTGCACACCGGCGTCTCTCGCCAGGAACGCGTCTCGCGCGCGAACACTTTGTTACGCGAAAATTAGATTATACCTGACAAGTGCCGGGGATTGCATGAAAAAAAGAAAAAAGGAAGAAGGACAATTCACCAGCGCGTATCGCTGGCGCTCTAATGCGATCTATGTATGTAAAGTAACGTCGTATGGAGCATAACCACGTGCGGATATGAGCAAATGGTTTTTACAACGCGAGCATTATGGCAGTTGTAATTCTTGCGAGTACTCCGGACCACCCGGAGCAGCGGCGACGGCACTGGCAGCGGCACTGGCGGCGGCTCACTTGCACAAGAAACTAATCTGCATTCGAAATTTCATCCTTGTCGAATGTGAAATGAAATTTCCAGTGAGCTGACGTCGTGTCACGTGGCGCACTTGCGTTCATTTAAGGAAACCCCGACGAGCTTCGAGGTCGAAACGTTTGTCAACCATGGCATTCGTTTGCGTTCAGAATCGGGTGTCGTTTCGCATCGCGTTGCTTCGCGATCTCGTTTCCCGCGAATGTCCGTTTATCCGACCAGCCGTAAACACGATTGGCTCTGAGAGACACCCGAAACACGAGATCATCGTATCAAATCCGCGCGGTTCTCGTCGTCGTCGTCGTCGTCGTCGTCGTCGTCGTCGTCGTCGTCGTCGTCGTCGTCGTCGTCGTCGTCGTCGTCGTCGTCGTTTTACGACGTCCCTTCTCTTACGGGAGGTAAGAGCAGTTCTTCCGCTTTCACCTTGGACTTTTTGTGGTGTGCGGTCGCCGATAGTAACTGCCGGAAAATGTCAATCC